GTTTAACCAATTAAGTTTCCAAAATGGTATGGAATGATTCCATCTTAATCTATATATAATCCTAAATCAACTATTGAAGGATTTAAAGCTAGTTTGATTACTAATAGAATATATGATCCTACATATTGTCCAGAATAAGATTTATTTAAAAGATTAGAAGATAATGGATTTATTTCAGATGTAATACCAATTCCACATTCTGACAAACGTAGATAATAAATAGTTGTTTAATCTTATTCTCTTGCTTGGAAGAAACATTCAAATAAAAAATCAGATTAAGAAATTGAAAAACTTAATTAATTATATAGTTTCTTATAAAAAGATTAAAAGGATTATCATCATGATTCAAGTGATTTATTCATTGCCAATCTATTGAATTTGAATGCAGAATTGAAATCTAAATCATTACCTGAAATTTCTGATTTTGTATTTAATATGAAAATATGGGATAAATTAATATAAGAGAGATTATCATCCAAAAAATCAACTAAACCTGCTGGTGTATATTTATAAAGGGATCCAGAAGTGTTATTGAATGAACAAATAAAATAATATAATCCATTTTTAACAACTCAATATTTAAAAAAGAAATTATAAGTCAATAAAACATTAGATGATTTAATTAAAATGAGAAAGGAATTATTAATGAAATTGTAAGAAGATGTTAAGAATAAAGAAATTAATAAATTATAAGCTAAAAATATTGTTAGTAAAATTAATAATATTCTTCATGATAAAATTTAAGAAATAAAGGGTGAATTAAGAAGAAAACATTCTTCTCCATATTATAAATAGAAAACTAATTATATTGATATTTTATTTGATGAAAATGATATTGAAAAATTAGAAGTTTAATAATCACCTGATAGATATCTTGATGTAGATTTATTATATGGAATGGATCAATTAGTTACAAGAAAGAGATCAAGAGCAGAAGAAAAATTGATTACTTATTATTTGATGAATAAATAAATGGAAGGCAAATAATTAAATAATTAAGAATTATAATTTTTAGATTCTTTGAGTCTTTATTAACCAAATGTTTAAGTTACTTAATTACGTATAAAAGATATATAATTTGATGATCTTATTCATTCAGATTTCAAATAATTTGGAGATTTTAGTGCTAGTGATTTATTATTATAATTGAGTCAATTATTTGATGATTAATTATTCTTGGATATTTTAAGCAATAAATATTATAAAAAATAAGGAATTTAACATCATTTTAGAAGAAGAGATAATTAATTATATTTATAATAATAGGAAAAATTAATTTGGATTGAAGAATCTAGATTAAATGATGAAGAATTAAAAGATCTTAGAGAAATGTTATAAGTAGGAAAAGTATCAGATCAACATATTGAATCAATGAATTAAACTGATTATCCTTTATAAAATGTATATAGTTGGATACATGCTAAATCTGCAGAAAAGTTTGATTTATCTCTATTAGATTAACACAATTAGGAATTATGGAATAATATATTTAAATGTTAATATGAAAATACAACTGAATAATAATTACATGATGTAGTCAATCTATTAGTAGAAAGATATTATATATTATAATTCCATCCAGTTACTTATTTAAGGTAACTCTTAAGAATGATCTTAACTCATCCAAATTTATCCACACTTGATAAAAAAGTAATTATTTTTTTATAAATAAATTAATAGAATCTTTAATGTTTGAAAAAGACTGTAGGTTTTAATTCTGAAGATATTTTGGCTATTTCCAAATCTGAAGCAGCTATTACTGTTCCATCTTATTTAAGTGAAATGTGTTACCCTTATGGTGAGAAATTAAGTATAATTTGATGTACAAGGATTTATATATAATAATTGTTATTATTATTCATTTATATATTTATTGAAATTGCTATTATTAAAATTGCATCATAATTTTAATATTATAAAATGTTATATTTTGTGGAATAAATATTTATTTATATAACTTAATTTGTCTTTAGAATCCATATGAAATAAATATATTTATGAATAAAGTAGATAATAAGGGTTAATAAGAAGAGAGCTTATTAGGAATTAATACATCCAGTCAACGAATAGGAACTATAAAAACATACTTATTTTTATGGATATATAATATATTTAAAGTATTGATCTTACATTTATAAATATTTTTAGCAAGGATCAAAATAGCCACTCAATCAAAAGTAAATACCAAAAGTTCTTAAAGAATATTCATCACTTACTAGTTATAAAACATTTATCAAATCTTATGAATTATTTCCTGATCTAAGATAATCATTATGGAATTCATTCAAATGTAATTAATTATTATTTTTAGTTCATATATTCCTTAATTGTTTAATATATTGGTTTACTTGTACTATACAATTAAGTTTACCATTTATGATGAGCAAAGCTTAAAGTTATTTTGTTGATCCAAATAGAATCTATACAACAACAAATATATTAGTATTTGCTATTTTGCAATTATTATATTACATTACTCTTTCAATATTCTAACCTATATAATAATTTTTATAGGCTATAGTTTCCATTAAAATTTAAGGAGCATTACAAATTTAATTAATGGAACATACTCTAAAATTTCCATTATAACGTTCATCAAAATATAATCCTGGTGATTTAATTAATATGCTTTAAGTTGATGTTTTATAATCATCAAATTACTTTATTAATAGATTTTAAGTTTATTTAGTACCATATTAACTTTTAGGTGCCTTTTTTATATTTTATATTACAGTAAAAGATAATAGTTTAACTCCTGCTATAGGTATTATGATATAGACAATTTTTGGTGTTGTTTTTGGTTATTATTTTGGAAAAATATAAAATAAATTTATGCATGCTAAAGATGAAAGAATGAGTGGTGTTGATGAAGCATTATTATAAATTAAATAAATAAAATTCAATTGTTATGAAACATATTTTGAAAAAAGAATTGAATAACTTAGAGCTAAAGAATTAAAATATTTAAAGTAATAAGTTCTTCTATTAATTTTTATTTAATTTATGTAAAATATTTTGAGTTTTGCAACTTGGGAATGTACATTCTATTTTGCTGATTTTATAACTTTTGCAATTACAACTGTTATTATGTAAAATTCAAGTTAATTAATGTATTTATTGTAAGCATTTCCAAATTAACTAAAAAATTATTATGCTTCTATTAATTCTATTAGTAGAATTACTTCATTTCTAAAAGAAAATTAAATTTCATAATGGAATTAAGATGATGATAGAATGCATGATATTAAAATAGATGGAATATTTAATTGGAAATATATTGATGATAATTAATATCTTAAATAAAATTAATAGTTTAATTTGTAATTAAATGTTGTGAAAGGTTAATATATAGTAATTGTTGGAAAGTATATATTATATTTTATATATAGTTCTGCTTCTGGTAAATCTACCATTCTTAAGTCAATCTTAAATGAAACTAATTGTGTTTCTGGCTAAATAGTCATCAATGGAGAAATAAGTTTAGCTACACAAGAACCATGGATTCTTAGTGATACTATTAAAAATAACATTATCTATATGAATAAATATGATGAAATGAGATATAAAAAAGTTATGCATGTATGTGCATTAGAATAAGATATTAATTAATTTATTAATAAAGATTATACATAATTAAGTGAAAAAGGAGATAATCTATCAGGAGGCTAATAAAAAAGAATCAATCTAGCTAGAGCTGTTTATAAAGAAGCAGATATTTATTTATTTGATGATCCATTAAGTGCACTTGATATTAAAGTCAAATGTCATATTTATAAAGAATGTTTTCTAAAATTTCTTAATGGTAAAACAAGAATATTATTTACAAATCAATTGACAAATCTATAAGGAGTAGATTAAATCTATTTATTATAAAATGATACATTGGTTCCTTATAATCCTAAAATTTCTATAGAGGAAGATAAATTAAATTTAATTGATATCTAGTTTGAAAATAATCATTTTGAAGATAAAGAACCATAATCAAAAGCTTCTTTTACTTTAATTAATGAAGATTAAAGAATTGGAAATATAGATACATAAGTTATCAAAACTATTTTTTAATTCTAAGGAGGTATTTGGGCAATATTTGCTATTATTACTTATTTTAGTGTTCTTATGATATTATCAACATTTTCAAGCAAGATTTTATCAAATCCTGAATTAGAACCTGATGAATTTAGAATAATTGCCTTAAAAACCTTTCCTCTTTTTAATATTCCAATATATATTGCTATTATCTCTATAACAGGATATTTCTTATTAATTGGTATAAAGACTAGTTCCATTATTCATAAGAATATTTTTATTTCTTTAATGAAAGCTTCATTTACTTAATTCTACAATCAAATTTTGATTGGTAGATTAATGAATAGATTAAGTAAGGATATTTACAATATTGATATGCTATTTCCTAATCAAATATACAATTTAAGTATTTAATTTACTAATTTAATAATGCCTTTGATTACTAGTTTAATATTTTTAAATTACATTGCTTATCCAATTGTATTAATTTTTGTTATAATTCTTGTTCTCTTTACAATATCATACTATAAATGTTTAACAGAGATGACTCGTATAGAATCAGTATCAAAAAGTCCTGTATTTTCATATTATTAATAAATAATGAGAGGTCTTTTGTTTGTTAGATCATGTCTTCCTAAAAAGTATGTACTCTAAAATCATTATAATAATATTGATTTAGATTTAGGAAATTAAATGTATTTGGCAGGATTATAATAATGGTTTTCATAAGCTTCTAGTATTATTACTAATATCTTTTAAACTATTTTATTTATAGTATGTCTTCTATTTCCAAATGATAATCCAGCTATGACTTATTTAATAGTAATTTAAATGTCTAATGTATCTTAATTATTAGTTACTGTAGCTATCAGTTATGGTAATTTATTAATGTATTCAATATCTTTTGAAAGATGTTTACATTTATCAAATGATATTGAATATGATGATTATTCATAAGGTAATATAAATTCAAAATAAATTGGAACAATTACATTATCAAATGCATCATTTTAATATCCAAACAATTAGAAAGATGTATTATCTAATATTAGTTTAACAATTGAATCTGGTTAAAAAATAGGTATAGTTGGTAGAACTGGTGCTGGTAAGAGTTCAATAATAATGGCTTTAATGAGAATGATTCATATAACAAATGGTGATGTACAAGTTGATGAAATAGATCTTAATGATTATTCATTATAGGAACTAAGAAAGAAATATAGTGTTATTCCTCAAGAAGCATTGATATATAAGGGAACTTTAAAAGAAAATCTTGATCCTTATGGATTAGTTGATGATTAAAATTTAGAAAAGGTTTGTAAAGCTTGTTAACTTTATAATATGAAATCATTTTAAGATTATAGATTAAATACATAAATATAATAAAGTGGTTGTAATTTGAGTTTAGGAGAGAAATAATTGATAACAATAGCAAGATGTATGATTGAAAATAGAAAAATTATATTAGTAGATGAAGCAACTGCAAATATAGATAATCCAACTGAGGAATTAATAAAAAATGTAATATATAATAAATAAATTTAGATTTTTAAAGTACATTTTAAAAATTAAACTATGATAACTATTGCCCATAAAGTTTCAACAATTATGGATTCTGATAAAATTGTTGTTTTGAGTGCAGGATAAATAATTGAATGTGATTCACCAAATAATTTACTTAAATAACCTTAGAGTGAATTTAGATAAATAGTAGATTTAATAAATAAGAATTTATGATTTATATGAAAATATATAAATTTATTAATTATATATGAATTAATATCAAAAATTTGATTATTAAGAATTTAATTATGAAATAATATATTCAATAATAAGAATATTATATAATATACTATATTAATAAATAATAAAAATATGAATTTAAAATATAATTGATATAAGAGAATTTGTAATAAATTTTCATTATTCTTCATAAAATGACCATCCTGTAATCTTATTTTTATTTTCATCAGTATCCATAAAATTAATTCTTAAAGGTACATTATTAAATGTTTATTCTGTTGGTTTAGGTGGTTTTAATTTTCTATCATAACAATCTTTCCAATTAATATTTGATAACCAAGAATGTTCACGAACTTCTTCTCCATCTAAATTAGATCCTAATCTTTTATTTGGATCTCTATTTAATAACTTAAATAATAATAATAATAATAATTNTAATCCAGCTATGACTTATTTAATAGTAATTTAAATGTCTAATGTATCTTAATTATTAGTTACTGTAGCTATCAGTTATGGTAATTTATTAATGTATTCAATATCTTTTGAAAGATGTTTACATTTATCAAATGATATTGAATATGATGATTATTCATAAGGTAATATAAATTCAAAATAAATTGGAACAATTACATTATCAAATGCATCATTTTAATATCCAAACAATTAGAAAGATGTATTATCTAATATTAGTTTAACAATTGAATCTGGTTAAAAAATAGGTATAGTTGGTAGAACTGGTGCTGGTAAGAGTTCAATAATAATGGCTTTAATGAGAATGATTCATATAACAAATGGTGATGTACAAGTTGATGAAATAGATCTTAATGATTATTCATTATAGGAACTAAGAAAGAAATATAGTGTTATTCCTCAAGAAGCATTGATATATAAGGGAACTTTAAAAGAAAATCTTGATCCTTATGGATTAGTTGATGATTAAAATTTAGAAAAGGTTTGTAAAGCTTGTTAACTTTATAATATGAAATCATTTTAAGATTATAGATTAAATACATAAATATAATAAAGTGGTTGTAATTTGAGTTTAGGAGAGAAATAATTGATAACAATAGCAAGATGTATGATTGAAAATAGAAAAATTATATTAGTAGATGAAGCAACTGCAAATATAGATAATCCAACTGAGGAATTAATAAAAAATGTAATATATAATAAATAAATTTAGATTTTTAAAGTACATTTTAAAAATTAAACTATGATAACTATTGCCCATAAAGTTTCAACAATTATGGATTCTGATAAAATTGTTGTTTTGAGTGCAGGATAAATAATTGAATGTGATTCACCAAATAATTTACTTAAATAACCTTAGAGTGAATTTAGATAAATAGTAGATTTAATAAATAAGAATTTATGATTTATATGAAAATATATAAATTTATTAATTATATATGAATTAATATCAAAAATTTGATTATTAAGAATTTAATTATGAAATAATATATTCAATAATAAGAATATTATATAATATACTATATTAATAAATAATAAAAATATGAATTTAAAATATAATTGATATAAGAGAATTTGTAATAAATTTTCATTATTCTTCATAAAATGACCATCCTGTAATCTTATTTTTATTTTCATCAGTATCCATAAAATTAATTCTTAAAGGTACATTATTAAATGTTTATTCTGTTGGTTTAGGTGGTTTTAATTTTCTATCATAACAATCTTTCCAATTAATATTTGATAACCAAGAATGTTCACGAACTTCTTCTCCATCTAAATTAGATCCTAATCTTTTATTTGGATCTCTATTTAATAACTTAAATAATAATAATAATAATAATTTACAGCTACTATAAATGATTTTGCTTCATTAGATAAACTTCTTGGTATTTTTAATGGTCCTTTTCTAATATTATCAAATAATTATTCACGTTCATTAGCATAATATGGAGGAATACCAACCAATAATTCATATGTCATTACACCTAAACCATACCAATCTGCCATTCTATTATGTCCTTATTTAGATAATATTTCAGGTGGTAAATATGCAGGTGAACCACAAAATGATTTATTTAATTCTTCATCTGTTACTCCTTTTTTAGATAATCCAAAATCTGTTAATAAAGCATGACCTTCTGAATCTAATACTACATTTTCTGGTTTTAAATCTCTAAATATAATATTATTTTTATGTAAACATTCAATAGCTAATAATATTTCTGCTACATATATTTTAGCATCTTCTTCTGGTAATTTTCTTTTTATATCTAATAATTTAGAAAGATCACCTCCAGGACAAAAATCCATTACTAAAAATAATTTAGATTCTGTTTAAAATGCATAATT